TTTCACTTTATTTAAAGTCGCCTTACGAGAAGGCAATGCATTAGACAATGATTAGACTACTAAAGATTTCTTCCTTAATCATCACTACTTATTCTAGTTTAGTGTTGGTTATAAAATTAAATATTGTCAAAAGGAAGTAAAAATGGACCTCTTGGAGGTTCGCCTTAAAATAAAAAAAAATAACAATTTGACCTTTCCCTTTAGGTGGGTGGATAAACCGACAGACGAGGCATACAAACTAAAAAATAAATACGTTAAGAACAGTGTATAATGATTGAGACACAAATAGCACACAAGACCAACATACCTTCGGAATACAGACATGCAACGCACGATACAAATCAAAAAATGAAATATACACACACAACAACGCTTACTGCACACACAACACAACATAACACTAACACACACTCACACAACACACACACACAACACAAAAACAACACACAAACACCACAACACAACAAAAGCACACACACTCACAACACACACACACAAACACACACACCAAAAACAACAACTCATACACAACATAACACACCTAACAAACACAACACGCAAAAAACACATACACAATAAGACAAACACCACACACAAAACACACACACAACAAGACAAACACACATACTACAACAAACACACACAACACAAACACACACGCAACACACACAACATACACATACACAACACACACACAGAACAGACACAGAAAACAAACAACACACATTACACACACAACAGAACACACAACACAACAACACACAACAAAACACACAACAACAACACAAACACACTCACACAACACAATACAACGACACAACTACACACAATCAACAACACATACACAAAACACAACACACACCAAAAATACAGACAACAAAACAACACACACACACAGACACATTCTACTTTCTGCTTTATAGTACAGATAGACTTTACATTATTCTAATAATGATAGGCCTTTAGATCTTTCTGCTTTATAGTATAGATAGACTTTATAATATATTATAATGATGATAGGCCTTTAGATCTAGAAATACACAAAATGTTCCTGAACATTAATTTATAAAACTTTTGACTGAATAAGGCCTTGATGCGGAAATACCCGAAGACGTAACCTATTCAAGATAGAGATTTTATAATCTTCTAGCCAAATTTAATTTCGTGTAAACAATGTTCTACTTCAATGTTAAGTAAACCAAGCTAAGTCGTGGTTCAAAATGGGTCTAAGTTATTTTGAAAAAGATTATTAAAATACCAGAGGATTTGGACTTTGGTGACAACGGACTGACCAAGGCTGTGAAGTTTAAAGCCTACAAATACACGATCTCGAGCTTTGTCTTTCTCTAGGAGTTTGTACAGTTGTGAAACAGTGAGTCCATTGAAGTCCAAGTTGTCATAGTCATAGTTGAAGTTAGGTCGATAGTCAAAATAATTTTCTTTTCATTTGAAGTCGCCTTACGAGAAGGCAGTACATTAGACAATGATTAGACTACTAAAGATTTTCGGCCTTAATCATCACTACTTATTCTAGTTTAGTGTAGGTTAATAAAATAAAAATTGGTCAAAAGGAAGTAAAAATGGACCTCTTGGATGTTCGCCTTAAAATTAAAAAAAAATAACAATTTGACACACTCACACAACACTCACACAACACAAAAACAACAACACACAACACAACACAACAAAAGCAAACACACAAACACACACACACCAAAAACAACAACACACACACAACATAACACACCTAACAAACACAACACACAAAACACACACACACTAAGACAAACTCACACACTACAACAAACACACATACAACACACCTAACAAACACTACACACAAAACACACACACAACACATACACAATAAGACAAACACTACAACTAAACACGCATACAACACACACACACAATAAGACAAACGCACATGCTAAAACAAACACACACACAACACAACAACGCTTAGTGCACACACAACACAACATAACACAAACACACACAACACACACACACAACACAAAAACAACAACACACAAACACCACAACACAACAAAAGCACACACACACACACAAACACACACACCAAAAACAACAACCACAACACACAACATAACACACCTAACAAACAAACAACACACAAAACACACACACAATAAGACAAACTCACACACTACAACAAACACACAACACATTACACCTAAAAACACTACACACAAAACACATACACAATAAGACAAACACTACACACAAAACACACACACAACAAGACAAACACACATACTACAACAAACACACAGACAACACAACACAAACACACACAACACAACATAACACAACAGCACACACAAAACACACACACAACACAAACACACACGCAACACACACAACATACACATACACAACACACACACACACAGAACACACACAGAATACAAACAACACACATTACACACACACAACAGAACACACAACACAACAACACAATGCAAAACACACAACAACAACACAAACACACTCACACAACACAACACAACGACACAACTACACACACACAACACATACACAAAACACAACACACACCAAAAATACAGACAACAAAACAACACACACACAGACACATTCAAGTCCAGTGAAGTCCAAGTTGTCATAGTCATAGTTGAAGTTAGGTCGATAGTAAAAAACCTGTGGCAGTAAGATCATGGAACAGAGACGAAACCTTCATTATCCTTTGGACTAGTTTTTAAAAACACGCAAAAAAAATAAATCTTTAAAAACTTTTAAAAACAAAGCTTATTTAAGTGAGAGAACCGCAAAAGTCACTGCTATATGTCTAAATAATATAGGAATAAATTCCCTTTGTTGTATATAAAACACAATTATTAATTACCACCAATTGGTTAACTTTTTGGCAATGTATTTTTTTTATTGTTTTAAGTATTTTTATCTACTAGGAATAATTATGCAAAATTTCAATTTGTTCCGAAAACTGAAATTGGGAGAAAAAACGTGTCCTAAACGTGATCAGGGAAAAAGCTCTACAAAAACTGCAGCAGACAGACGGAAAGACAGAGTGAGTTTATTTAAGTTTTGTAATAATTTTGTAGAGCGCTTTTCACGCTTTAATATGCTCAGTGCGCTATGGACCAATGTATTTTCGTCGACTTACGGGGAATGTTTAATCTGGGAGAAGGTTTCCATGCTGCTTTTTGGCGCTAAGCAAATACAACTTTACTCGATTAAGGAAAATTTAAGCAATTAAACGAGTAACATAAAAATAATATAAATTATTTAGTCAAATATGTTTATAGCAATAGTCATTTAAAATAACTGCAGCCTATAACTTAATATGATTCGAAAAATTGATGCCAAAATTGTTTCATTATCAATCAGGATTTCCCTACAAACTAAGAATTTCATTCATCCTTTCATTCATCATTTCATGTACGATAGTTCCTAATGAAACGCTAAGTTGATATCATTGCTTCATTGGCTTGTGTTGTGATAGTGCTGATGGCGGATCTTTTGTTAGAGTTTTCTTCTGTGTTTTATTTTGCTTTATTCTTCAAGTTGTAGTTTTTAAAATCGTTAATAATATAATATTGTGAATGGCGGTCTCAAGGAACGCGTATTTTTCTTCTTTAGGGACGCAGGCTAGGGACTCTGTTGTAGGCAAACCTTATCAACAGCTCCAGTGGTTTGTTCTGGTATGGTCTGTGCATCCATGACATTGGGTTGTGGGATTCGCTTCGTGATTGAATTATGGCACCGAACTTAAGGTGTGCTATATCTATTTTAATTACTTTGATTAATTGTACTTTCTTTTGTGAATACCATTGAGACTTCATCACTCATATCATAACACTTCATTTGTTCATTAAATTAATAGCTAAACTTACGCTCTTGTTGTTAACTAATGTAAAATAATGTATCGTTATTATTAAATATTGTTCGTGTTGAACAATTGTTTATATTAACAGTTCAGTTGATTGACATGTATTCGATGTTTAGCAAGTCAGAATTTTATATGTTAGTACTCCTTGTTCTGGTTTACACTGTTCAGTTGGGGGTGGGGGGAACCTAGAAACTCAATGCAAGTAATAATAAAATTTGAGATTTAAAGTGTGGTGCGACATAATATACAAATGGGCTCAAATATCAATATGTAGCTTATATTATGTAGATATTCAACCAAATTTATTCACAAACTATGAATTCTCCATAAAACTAGGACCGCCCCCCCCCCACTCTAAGGGTTTAGATGGGAAGGGCCATAGATGTATTCGCACCCCCCCCCCCCCCATTCGGCTAACTTATAAATATATAAAGATCGGTTAAACGATCAATAACACGTTTTAATCATATTTCATTGATTCTGTTAGCAAGTTGTGATTGCTAGAAACTAATTGGACTGCCTCCCACTTACCCGAATGTTTACGGGGGGGGGGGGGGGGGGCGGGATTGATGCTATCGCCCCTCCCAACCCACCAAATCGGCCAACATACTAAAGAGGGGGGGGGGCGAAGTAATCTTATAAATAGGTATAATTAGTATATACTTTTTACATAAGTAATTAATTTGTATACACATTGTGTTTTTTCTATACTAAATACTGCCAGTGACTTAAGCTTTGTTTTTTTGTAAAAGTATATATAAACATTTTTTCTTGTTGTGACTGTTGTTGTTTATATTACCATTAGACACTTAAACAGCTCGGGTCCCTAATTTTTACCTACACTGTTTTGAAACTCTCGGTAGTTACCATGTTTCAAATACTACCATTTTGGGAACCCAGCACTGTTTTACTGTGAAATTATAAATATATGTTACTGTCCTTGGGTACAGAACTACATGCAATTGAGTAGGTCTGCACTTTTATTCATTCATTTATTCATTATGAATGGGATTGTTTCGATTTTGTTCTGAGTCACGTGGTGGTGTTTAATTTCTTTTTATAGTGGGAATCTGATTATTGAGTTAGGTCAATTTTTTGTGGCATACATGCGGTGGTGTAAAGGTTAGCATGGTTGCCTTCCAAGCAGTCCATTTGGGTTCGATTTCCGACAGACGCATTATTTTTTTTCGGTCTTTTAAATGTTTAAATTATTATTTTGATATCCACCAGGTAGTAGTCAATTTTACAAATTTAGAGACGGTAGTTAAGAACTAAGAAATTTAACCTTAACTGTCCCTCAATATCTCATGGAAGGTGGTAATTAAAGTGCTTGGCTACCGAAATGCCTGGGGTCTCGGGTTTGAGTCTCGATAACGACCCGAATCTTTAAAACTCTTTTCGGTATCATTAACTGGGGAAATTAAAGGTGGTTGGGCGTTGTGCTGGCCACATGACAAACTCGTCATTGTTTGGCCATAGAAAGAAATGGTGTTTCCATCATCTGACCTATATCTCGCAAGGAACACTTTGCTCTTTTTTGTTTTTGTTTTTAAAGATCTCATGGAAAAATGTCGTTAGTGTAATTTTAAACCCTCCGCTTTGATTTAGAGCTCAGTTTAATTATTATTATTATTATTATTATTGTCATTATTATTATTAGAAGTAGTAGTAATATCTCCCTTGATAAAGCTTACAAAATATCGCGCCGTGATAACAAAAGAAGTACAGTTAAAGACCTTTACTATTTAAAGAACAAAATGTATTTCGCCTGCAGTTTAAAGTCTTGCGTTAAAAAAAAACAAAACAATTACACAAAGTCTTATGAAAAGAACTGGACTCTAAAGTACAGCCTTGTTGTTGAACAGCCTTTGGTTCTGTGCTGTGCCAAGTCAAACAGCGTGTCAAGGTCACCACCAGAACTAGAGGATGTTTACATCCTTGCATTTCCCAGAAGTGGTTGTAGAACTCAAAAGGAAATAACAACAAAGTCAATTGTCGCAGTAGAGATCATTCACGTCTTCTTCTTCTTCTAGCCAGCTTTATTGCTGCTGAGCTGTCAGCTCTTTTGCAGACTGGGCTAAGGAAAAAAAAGTGTGCTGTTCTCTTCAGTTGTTCAGCACTCCCGTACAGGGTGCTGGTTATATTGGGCTGTGGTTGTAGTAGGGTCTGCCTACCGTGGGTTAGGAAGGGGCATTCAAAAAGGATATGGTTAACGGTTTCATAAGTGTGGGAGCAGTGTCTGCAAAGGGGGGAATTTTGTGGAGTTTATTTTGTTCAGATGGTAATTTTATAGAGGTGTGTGTTCAGATCATTCACAAAATTATCGAAATATTCTGACAGTGAAGGGGCAAATTAGAAATTTGTGGTCCAGTAGTGATTATGTTGAATTTATTTCTGTGAATTTGGTAATAATTTTTTTTTATTTTTCTTTTGCGTATTCTTATTTGCAATATTCTTGAATGATTCAAATTTCGGAAATTAAAATATTCAATCTCAGAACGCGGGTTTCTGTTAGTTCATCATGAAATTCCGTATGTTTCTGTTAGTTGACCATTAAATTCCGTATGTTTCTGTTAGTTGATCATTAAATTCCGTATGTTTCTGTTAGTTGACCATTTAGTTCCATATGTTTCTGTTAGTTGACCATTAAATTCCGTATGTTTCTGTTAGTTGACCATTAAATTCCGTATGTTTCTGTTAGTTGACCATTAAATTCCATATGTTTCTGTTAGTTGATCATTAAATTCCGTATGTTTCTGTTAGTTGACCATTAAATTCTGTATGTTTCTGTTAGCTGACCATTAAATTCCGTATGTTTCTGTTAGTTGACCATTAAATTCCGTATGTTTCTGTTAGTTGACCATTAAATTCCGTATGTTTCTGTTAGTTGATCATTAAAGTCCGAATGTTTCTGTTAGTTGAACATCAAATTCCGTATGTTTCTGGTTACGCTTAATTATAGCGGGACCACTCGTTATAGTAGACCTCAACACTTGTCTTCGAACGTCACTTCCGTTTTTGGTTATGTTAAAGTAGCGTGACATGTTGTGGTGCAAAAATATACACCTTACATCCATTAGGCCAGGCTAGGTCATAAGGAGGTCAGGCTTGGTCATGATGAAGTCATGTTACCAGTTTATGTTATAGGTAGACATAGGTATAGAGAACGCATGCGTAGACGTAGGTATAGAGGACGAATGTAAACCCCTCCTTCCAAATCCCACCCCCAGCCACAAATAATATATATATATATATATATATATATATATATATATATATATATATATATATATGTTATCATAGAGCTGTTTCCCAAAGTGGGGTACTCCCAGGGGTACGGGTAGACTTTGGAGGTGATAAGCATTGCATCTCAATAACTATGCAGATTTAAAAAAAAAATACCCATTCATTCTGTTTATAATTATAATGTTCTGTTAATAAGTTATAATAAACTATCAATAAGTTTTAATTCACTTACTGTTAATATTATTTTATTTTATATTTATACAAACTTATAATCGGTGTTGTTATACATCTTCATAATAAATTTCACAAAGATCGGGAAATGAATAGGGATGTTTTTCAAGGTCCATAAGATTATATTTTATTTCACCATGGTTTCAAACTGTAGAATTGCATACATTAATCCCACCAACTGAACACTTGTTTGTTAAAGATTTATAGTCTTCCAAATTTTTTTTATAGTTCTTTCCTTAAGTTTTCTTTTTTATTCAGTACTGAAGAGATTACCTTGCCAACAACACATAAGACACTAACATAAGTTTACGGTTTACACAACAGTTCATGTTACAATTGTTCATGACCTGTCCATTGTCTTAGATATAACTAATTGAATTACCGACCCTATGGAAAAGATGATATTTGATACACGTCTCAAAATATACATTTCATTTGTGTATTTAAAAAGGTGAGAATCGTCACGCATTTTAACTCTCTGGTATCTGAAATACTTGTCATTTCCAACTTGATAATTATGAGAAGTTTCTTTTTCAGCATTAGTAAACATTAAGTCGAAAACATAAGGAACAGACTATTAGACGTGGAACAGTATCTGAGGTTAAAATTAACAACCAAGGAACCAAATTATATGATCTGTCATCTCAGCACATAGATGCAATCACATAGAAAAGGGAGCGGGGGTGGGGTGGGGGGGACGAGGAATACAAAGATTATAAAAGGGTCACACACAGGTCAAAAGTTTGATAACACCGTCATTGAGGATTTCAAGGCCATGGACATCGATGTTAACTATTGGGAAGATCAAACTCTACACACCTTAACAAGACTCCCTTTTGGCCAGTGTGGGAGTCAAGATGACTAAAAGAATGTCAGGGAATTTGTTTTGACGTTTGACCTTCAAACACTAATGTCCTTAAAGTCAAGTCAGACTAAAGTATTTTGTCTAGTACTATGGCTGTGATTCTCCACTATGGCTTTGATTTTATTTTTATCACGACCATCTGGTCACTGACTGGAGATAGAATTGGTCGAACTAAATCTGCATAAAATGTAGGCCAATTAATTTAACCACGACAATGATTTTTTTTTAAAGTTAATCCATTATAAAGACAAAAAAAATTTCTTCGAATTTAAAAAGAATAAAATGACGACATTATCTTACATAACCAGCATGCCTTTGTCTTAAATGTGTAACAAATACACAAGACATAAGCACTTGATCGCATATCGTACAGACTTAGATGAAATATTTAACTGTAACAGTTAGGACAAAGAGAAACACTTGATAGAATGTTACATACATGAAAGAGAGAAACACTTGATAGAATGTTACATACATGAAAGAGAGAACCACTTGATAGAATGTTACTTACATGAAAGAGAAAAAATTGATTAAGCGTTTTAAATAAAAAACAGAAAAAAGACTTGTATAAATGTTGCAAGCATTAAAGCGAGAAAGATTTAATCAAATGTTACAAACAAATGTTGATGACAGAAAGATTACTATCAAATTTTATTAAATTGGTAATAACAAGGGATTATTTTGTTACTATGTGTGTTTTGTTGCCTGTTTGTCATAAGGTTTATAATTTTCTTAAGTTGTTTATTTTATACTTTTCTGATGGGCTACACCCGGTAAGGCCCGCACACCCCAGCAGTGACGCTACTGGCATTCATCATCTTCCAAGACTGCAAACAGTTGGTCCGCGGTTGTTCGCTATTCACAGCGATCCCACAAGGATCCTTCTTCTATCTGACACCTGGGGACGCAGTGGTAGACAAAAGTAGCTCTCCTAAGCATCGTAAACCATAGTATTGTTTGTTACATCTGTTACTTTCCTCCCTGTGTTGGTCTACTGTCTACACATTAGAAAAAAAACCAGACCACTCAATGAGAAAGTCCTTAAGCAAACAGAACATTCTAGACCAGCTGATTAACGAGCTTATCTTTTGACTTATTTATTTAGTGTTTTATTAAATACTACGAGACAAAAAAAAATCCCAATAGAGGCCATTAGTACGATAGGCATTAAGAAAAAGTACTTTATAAGTAAAACAGAATTAGTGTCTCCACATAAGTCAGGGACGACAACTATGTTATTGCTCTACGTACCGATAACTCTTCTCTTTGATTTGGGTAAGTTTAGTACGCTAACAAACGATATATATATATATATAGAGAGAGAGAGAGAGAGATAAAATAATAATGACAAAAAAAAAATTAACACATCACTACAACATATCTCAATACTGCATGAATAGGATCTCTTTTTATATATCAAATAAATTAATTAGTCACCATTAATACAAAATCTAATTGGTTAATTTTCTAATTATATATATTTTTTTATTATTGTATTGTCATGACCCTAGATAGCTGCCACAATACGACTTGTAATTAGAATGGAAAGTGGGAGGAAAAACGTGTACTAAATGTAAAAAGGTAGACTAACTAGTGAGACTTAGTGACAAGTTATCTTTCTAATTTCCGACTGGCCAGTTCAATAAATGAAGATGTTGGTCGACATTCTAACATGATATCTCTGTACACCCGGTCAAAAAAAAATGCTGCCATCCTTCATGAGGAAAAGAAAAGAGTTCTATGTAAGGATGAGCACATGTGCCAAGAGACCCCTGGTTATGAGCGTTTATGCGGTCTAATCAGTGAACCATGACTATATTTGTGGGATAATTGTC